CACTATATTATAATATAAAAATAATTCAAATGTAAGTAGGCAACTTACTTATCAATGTATAGTGCATTCACCTGACATAAACATAAAATAGTACAAGGGAAACTTTACGGTTATAACAAACATAGTTAATGGCAGAAAATCGAAAAGTTACTCAATAAGGAAATATTAAATTGAATTACAAATCTTAAATCACAAGCAATGACTCAGCTAATTAATTAAGTATATATGAAATATATGAGCTGTTGAATAAATTTTGCTCATTCAGTTAAAGTCCACTAAGATCACTAAACTGAACTGAACTCGTAATTCGCTCTGCCTTTGCTATTTCCATTTCGAAATCAAGTTCTGAAAATATTTCAAATTAATTTAATAATAATGTCACTTATTTAAGCTTCTCTTTCAGTTTCAAGTACATTATGCAAGAAGAGTTAAAAAGCATACAAAATTCATTTCTTAACAATAAAGGATAGTATTAAGGTATTACAGCTACATTATAGCACATATTTAGGAGTAATCCAAACACTGTTTCAAATCCACACTGATGAAATCAAAAGGCTGACTGTTGTTGCACAATAAAATATGAAAATTTGAAGGCATTAATTACACTACGAATTAATCAGATGTGAAATCTAAACTTCCAGACTTGGAAGAACATCGAACTGTCTCATGCTCACTTAACCTTACGAAGAATAGTGGCACAAAATTCAGCGTTCTTGGCTTTTATGCATCATATAATATTAAAAAAGAATTCTCCATGTAAGTAAGAAACATTAAAAAATCTTTTTATTGAATACCCAGAAATGCACATTGATTCTCACATCTTCTCTTACCAACGCCACGTAGTCAACAGACGAGATTCTCACTATAGAGAAGACGAGATTCTCACTATAGAGAAGAGAAGCGCCCTCTAAGGAAATTACAAATTAACTTCCAAGAGATTTTCTCAAACGCCTGTCAGTAATTGGTACAAAACTTGAGCATTCATTGTATTTAGTCCGTTCAATCCGAATGCATATCTTATGATATTACAATTAAGCTTCTTTCTTGATATTTGTCGATGTTCTATGAAAGAATTTCGCCAGGTTTTGTTGTATAAGTAGTGAGAAAAAAGAATTTTACTGAAGAATTAACGTATGCTACTAAACTCCTTACTGTTTCCCTTATTATCAAATTCCTCAATAAAAACAAAGCAAGAAAAAAAGAAAAGAAACAATCGATATTTAAGCTAACAATCAGTATTGCCAGTATATACTAAAAAATAAAACCATGTACCAAAAACACGTAAATATACTTGAGAGGATCTTAAGAAAATAAATAAATTGATCCTTATTTCATTTTCTGTATATAACTGTTAAATAACAAAATGCTTTTATGCACTGAAAAATAAATAAACATATCTAAAACAATGTGAGTAATATTGTTATATTAGTAGTGTTAGTAATACATGTTAAGGAAAACTTCAATATTACTCATTTAAAAAATACACAATAAACTTCTTTTAAAACATTCTCTGTTCTTTTTACGAAACAAAGGAAGTATTGCAATCGCAAAAAATTTCGTGTCTCATATTTTAACGAAAATATTCACTTTGACCGCTCTTGAATCGACTTGAAAGATGTTTTAGTTTGGCATCTGTACGTACGGATAGAATAAAGGACCCTTTTTCCCAAAATGGATTCTGAAGAGATTTTTTTATGAAGTTTGTACGTACATATTAATTCATATGTAGCCGCAGAAAGGTTAAAATTTTGTATATGGAATTGCTATAACATGAAGTTGTGCACCTTCCTTTTTGGTTGCGATCGACTGCACGAAACGTATACACTGAAGTGACAAAAGTCATGGGATAGCAATATGCAAATATACAGATGGCAGTAGTATCGCGTAGAAAGTGTATAAATGCGAAGTGCTTTGGCAGGGCTTTTATTTGTGTTCAAGTTATTCATGTGAAGAGGCTTTGACGTGATTATGGCCGCACGACGAGAATTAATAGACTTTGAACGCGGAATGTTAGTTGGAGCTAGACGCATGGGTCATTCCATTTCGGATATCGTTAGGGAATTCAACATTCCGAGATCCACAGTGTCAAGAATGAGTGAGTGAGTGAGTGAGTGCACCGCTATGATGGCTTCCGACCACGGACATGAACCAAACGGAATTATATACCATCACGGCGGGAAAGACTCCAGAGTAACAAGGTTGAATATTATAAACTAATAATAGTTTTTACATATTGTTAACTGCAAGGCACTAAGCGTTATTCTGGTTATCTGCTTTAAGTTCTGAACTTTTGAAACATTATAATATCATCCACGGTTGTTTCTGCTTAGGCAGTGTTCTGAGATTTTCTCTATTTTTTCAAAGGCTATTCTGTTTTTGAGTGTGTTAGTCGTCCACATTGCCCAGGCACAGTCCGCTGGTTTCTTCAAGTGCCAGGTTCTTGTATGTACACAATGGAAGTAATAATGGTCCGTGTCGCCTTCCTCTCCGCATTCGCAGAAAGGAGTATTCCTAAGTCTGAATCTGTTCAGGTATACTGGGAATGGTTCATGACCTGTCAAGAACTGTGTTAGGCTAGCACAGTGGGTCTTTATTTCCCTGTTAACTTTTGGCAGTAAGCGAAATGTCCTTCGTCCTACCTCTGCCTGCCGAGAGTATCTAATTTCAGGCATAACATCCCACCATGGACAGCGCAGTTTCCGACCACCTGCACTTAACGACCGAGACCAGCGACGTCTGCTTAGAGTTGTCAGTGTTCACAGACAACCAACACTGCGTCAAATAACCGCAGAAATCAATGTGGGACGTATTAGGGACGTGTCCGATAGGACAGTGCGGCGAAATTTGTCTTCCTTGGGCTATGCCAGCAGAAGACCGACTCGAGTGCCTTTACTAACAGTACGACATCGCCTGCAGCGACTCTCGTGGGCTCGTGAGCATATCGGTTGGTCCCTAAATGAATGGAAAACCGTGGCTTGGTCAGATGAGTCACGATTTCAGTTAGTAAGAGCTGATGGTAGGGTTCGAGTGTGGCGCAGACCCCACGAAGCCATGGACCCAAGTTGTCAACAAGGCACTGTTGAAGCTGGTGGTGGTTCCATAATGGTCTGGGCTGTTTTTACATGGCATGAACTCGGTCCTCTGGTGCAACTGAGCCGATCATTGACTGGAAATGGATACCTTCAGCTACTTGGAGATCACTTACAGCCATTCATGGACTTCACGTACTCGATGGAATTTTTATGGATGACAATGCGCCATGTCACCGGCCCACAATTGTTCGCAATTGGTTAGAAGAATATTCTGGACAATTCCAGCAAATGATCTGGGCACCTAGATCGCCCGACATTAATCCCATCGAACATTTATGGGACATCATCGAGAGGTCAGTTCGTGCCCAAAACCCTGCAGCGTCAACACTTTCACAATTATGGACGTCCATAGAGGCAGCATGGCTCAATATTCCTGCCAGGGATGACTTCCAACGACTTGTTGAGTCCATGCCACGTCGAGTTGCTGCACATCGCCGAGCAAAAGGAGGACCGACAAAATATTAGGTCGGTCCCATGACTTTTGTCACTTCAGTGTATATTAATACCCACTCTATTACCCGGCTCGGTTAGTTCAGTTTTTTCCTCCCTTATATGTTGGTAAATTGTGCATTTTTTGCTTTAAAAGTGATTACATTATGTTGTTTTTATGTTCCAGTTAAGGTTTTTATGGCTTTAGTGAATCTATTTGTAATAGTTGTAGAATTAAATCTTTTAACAAGCAAATTAAAAGTAGCGTTGCTAAGCCTAACGAAGCCGCCATTGGTTTACATTTGAAACTGTTAGTAGAACAGCAAATAAAGTCAATTTCTGCATCAACTTTAGTGTCCTTTAGCCGAGTGGGACCAAAAGTGAACGAAAGTTTTGTGTACCGAAAAATCTGGCCTCCTGCCCACTGGCCGAGTTGCTTGTTATTGAGTGGAAACTCTAATTTTAATTGTAAAAATCTTTTTTAACTGCTTTAAACTGTATTTGGTCTTTTATACTTTTTTTTCCTATTTTATAATTTTTAATAAAGATATTTTGAGGTGGGTTTTTTTTTTTTTTTTTTTTTTTTTTCTTTACCACGAAGTGATAATTGAATGAGAATCTAATGAAATTTATATCTCTAATGAAATTCGAGGAAATAAGTTTAAAATGAAACGCAGCAAAAAGTGTGTATAATTTAATAGGCCGTACAAGAAATTCATGTGGTGTTCACATCAGATGTTTTTCGTTTAGGTACTTCGTTATTTTTATTCTGCGCAATTTTCATTTTTTTTTTTTTTATTTCTGGTGCTTTAAATCATAAAAGATGAGTGCATCATTATAACTCTGTAAATGCAAAAATAATTTATGCACTGCTTTTCGCGTATCTTTCACGAATCTTTCACGAATCTTTTCACGTGTGGAGTACATTCAATTCGAAAAAATATGCGATAATTCAAAAATGCTTCGAAATTCAAAATTCAGGCTTTGTACACGTTCAGATGCAGGTCTAATTTTATCCAAAAATTGGGGGTCCCAGGAGGCACCGTCTTTTCCCATAACGAAGGACTCACATACTTATTTAGATTCTTAATTTTATAATAGTAGAGATAGCATTTCAAGTATGGTTTTCCCTGGATGGACAATGAAAAATTTTATTTTTATTTTTCCTGATCAGAATATATTATGTTTCTCTTCTAGTGTTCTTTTTTCTATATTATATAACGTTATCCTACAAGCCTTCTTTAAGAAATCGTCTTTATATTCTTAATATGTTACAAAACTTTCCATTTTAATAATAATTAAATAAATACATTTTAGATACAAATACTCAGTTTTGGTCAAAATTTCATTTGTTCAATTTAATTTTTCTTTTTAACACCCTTATGTCTCTAAATGCATTCCATGTATATTTAAAAAGTCCTTTTTGAAAATAATAAAAAAATTATAATTCTGAAATTATCTTCGTAACTCACTTTTCAGGTCCTCACATAGACGATTCCAATGATCTATACAATCCATGGGGCAAACCGGGAGCTGGAGCTCCTTTTGTAAGAGAAGATGGAAAGCCTTTTGAAGAGAAATTGGTATGTATTGGCTTTAATTTTATTCACTTAATGCCAAATTAAAAAGCATTAGGTGTCCCGAAATAAGTAAAACACTCTACTTTATCGTTAAAATATTAAATACGATACGTTTTCTCCCTTACCCTTGCAATAATGTGAATTATACTCTTCAAAAGAGCCTTCTTACGGCTCATAACTACTGTCTCCCTACAGATGTATCGACCATGAGGACAAATATGTCAGTGATTTTGGAACCAGTATATTTACTAGAAAGATAGATGGATGCGATCTTCATCGTAGAGTGTCTTAATGAATTTATTTCCTTTATTTAAAAAAAAAATCTAATGTGTACACCACATAACTTCCTTGTACGAAATATTAAATTATACGCATTTTTTCTTGCATTTCATTTAACTTATTAGATTTAATTAAACCTACTTCGCCGACAGCGCATAAACCACAATAGAATAAATGCATTCTTTAAAATTCACTTTGTTTACCATAGCGACACTCTGGCGCTAGGTTTACTTAACATTATTATATTTCCTTCATATTATAACTATGTCTATGTCTATGTCTTATCACTTAGTAAGAGGCAATCGACCATTAACGGCCTTTACCAATATATGATACTTGACTTTTAAATGCTTGAAGAATCGAGTAAGTTGTATCCAATAATATGGAAGTACTTGTACACATGCTGTGCTAGAACTCAGAGATTACTAGCGACGGAGGCTCCTGTGCCGCCGTCCGTAGAATAAGTAAACTTTGAACAAAAGAGGTGCTCGTGTGGCGCCATCTATTAGTAGTGATCAAAAGCATTTTAGTTGACTGGAGCCCTGGTTGCGCCATCTCTTGCAGGATATATTGTAAGGCATTTTGGTGCTACTTTGGTAGACGGTTGCACGGATTTTTGGCGATTTACGTTGGCGCAAATTTTACAAACGTCAGCCATCTTGAAAAACGCTGTTTTTGCGCATAGTAAAGTATTCGAAACTTAAAAAAAAAAAAAATATCATTAAAAGTAATGGATTAATTTTTTGTTGAAAATGTCGTTTTTTAAGATGGCAGGCAAGTGTAAATAAATACATTTACTATGAGTATAAAGTACTAAAGTAAAGCTATTATTACTTTCATATAGCAAAAAAGAGAATAAAAACACCGCTATAAAAACATTGTGCCAACGTTTAATTAGATTAAAATATTACTGAAATTGAATATCGAATTAAAAACCATCCTACCAACATTTAAAAGAATTAGAATATTATTAAATTCAAATACTTTAAAATACGTTATATAGAATATAATTAACATTAAAACATATGTGACAATAATTATCTCAGCAATTTTTGAAAATAGTGTATTAATTTTTTTAACAAAATTGAAGTATACAATTATAAAATAAAAGAAAAATATGTACTTACATTTTTTTAAGTATTTTAACCTCTTGTTTATTGATAAGTACCACATAAAAAATCGAAATCATAATTGATCATCGGATCTTTTAACCATCTTCATCTGTTATCCAACATATCTCGCACTTCATTGAAGAAGCAATTAGCGAGGTTTCCTTCCAAAAATTTTAAAATAAATTTTCCTCTGACGCTATTAACAATTTATAAATAAATCTTTGATTAGGAAAGACAGGTTGGCCAAAATAAAGTCTCAAAGGGCAATTTTTTTATTCCAATACCAATAATTGGTAATTACCAATAACAACATTCGTCTTCGAAACGGAGATATCCATTCCATTTGAAATCCGAGGAATTCGAAGAGATGAATAATAAAATTTTAAAATGGCGTGGTAATGCACAAATATTCAGCAACCAAACAGGGAGCTGATTACATCACGCATAGAATTAAAATTATTTAAATACTCATTCATAATAAAATCATTTTTAAAACAAATGCAAAATTAAATTTTATTTTAATATTTAACAGCCATAAATAATGTTTAAAACATTAGATTAAATTTATAGATATTAATAAAACCAATTACTTTTAAGTAAGGTGACGTCATTGATTACATCATCCACAACATAAAATTATATAAAATATTATAAACAACAAAATTTTTATTTCAAATAAAAATGTAAAATTAAATTGATTTTTAATATTTAGAAGGCATAAATAATATTTAAAACACGGAAGATATGCATAATAAAACGCATTATTTTTTTAATAAAATGACAACAAAGTATCGGTTACCATAAATAACTTATTCAGCAATGGGTTTACCATAAGTTGTATTACTCGCCAAAAGGCAAATCGCCAAAAAGTCGCCAAAATCCGTGCAACCGTGTACCAAAGTAGCACCGGCATTTTTAAAATTTCATAAAAATTATTCTTCTGATAAGCAATAATTGGAAAGTGAAATGATGAAAAACACAATTTGCAGTACATTGAAACGTTTCACAAGAGTAAAAACTATTTACACACAAAGTCTACCTGCTTTGGCAGAAACAAAGTCCATAGTCATATAATAACTCAGAATGCACAAAATTTATATCATTTAAAGAATTATCTAATCGTTGCCACATGTTCTATTCAAATACTATAACAAAGCTAGAACGATGTATAAAAGAAATTAAGCAAACAAAACAAAAAAAGAACAGTTTTTCACAGACGATTGAGTATTTCTCATTCAATTAATTCCGTTTTCACTTCGCGACAAGGCAAAAATACATAAAAACTCAAAATATGTGCATTAAAAATTACGAAGTAAATCTTAAACACTTATTTCCTCGAAAAAATCCCAGAAAGGATTAAGCATGATTTAATTCGCAATAATAAAATGAAGGCGTTTTATTTGTTGTTGCGAAGCTTATTTTCTCTAGATTGGACAACAAACCTACTATTCTGCTGTTTCAAATGTAAACAAGCATATGGCCAACATGGCAAAAAGTATTAAGCTTAACGGCACTTAAACAAGCTTTTAAATTGTTGATAATTGTACATAATATTGCTTCCAGAATTTACTGAAAGGCATAAAAACTTTAATCAGAAGATAAGAACAACATAATTCAATCATTTTTATCAACATAATTCAAGCAAAAAATGTCACAATTTATAAACATATAAGAGTATAGAACCTGAGATCACTGAGCCGGGTAACAGAGTGGATATATTTATAAAATATATTTATATACGTTTGATGCGGCCGATTGCAACCAAAATACGAGGTGCACATCACATGTTATAGCAGTCCTATATACAAAATTTCAACGTTCTGAGGCTACTCGTTTTTGAGTTATGCGAGATACGTACGTTCGTACAGACGCTACGAAAAATTCTCTCCAGAATTCATTTTAAAGCACTTTTTTAGTTTTTTTTTTTTTTTTTTTTTTTTTGGGGGGGGGAGGAAAAGAGTTTTTTATTCTGTCCTTACGTATAGCTATTACACAAAAACATCGTTAAATTGCATTCGAAAGCGGTCAAAGTGGATATTTTCGTTGAAATATGCTGCCTGAAGCTTTTCGCGATTACAATACTTCCTTTTTACTTCGTACAAGGAAGTAAAAAACTAGAAGAGAATAAAAGAAGACATAAATTAGAATGTTAATATAATCAAATGAACTAAAAACGCTTTCTTTAATCTCCTCGAGTGCGGCATTTTATGTGCTGATATTCTTGCCGCCTGGAAAATGATTGGCCAAGTGACAATGAGCATCGTGCATCCCATAAATTGACATAATTAGAGATGGGTAAAGCCATTCTTTTAAGGGATTTCATCAGAACCGTTCGCTCACTAAACTTTGCAGGACTCATCGTTCACTAATAATAACCTTGATGAAAAATATCGCCAACGTGGCGTGAATCAAGAGCAATTAGTGAGAATGAAGCGAACAGCGGAAAGAATCTACGAGTAGTGGGAATCGGGAACGAATAGTGAGGCTGGAGCGTAAAACGTAAAGAAACGAATAATCAGTGGGATCGTAAAACATCAACTGAATCAAACGAGAACTTCCTGAACTGATTTTTTTTTCAGCTGTAGTTTCGAGATTCTTGAAAATTTCGTTTCTACGTTGAATTAAAAATAAAATTTTAGAATAAAAATTTTTCAAAAAGGTAGCAAACAATAAAAATTAAGCTCACTTTTAACATAGGAGGATAAACATTCTTTTCTTCCGTAAAATGGGAATCGATATTTCCTAGCACGCTTCGAACAAGAGCCTCTCTATATCGCAATTCACGCGTTCTCTTGCTCAGTTAAAATGAATTTCACCTATATTCTTGGCAGGCTTCCAACAAAAGCTCTCTGTGAACTGTAAAAGAGCTACAACTCTGTTTTCTGATATCACTTTGCATTCGCTCAGTAAAGTGAATCGGTTCTTTGAATCAGCTGCGGAGCAATCGTCCAACTAATCGCTCAATAGAATACATACTCGTGTAGATGACGTGTTCGGACGTATTTAGTATAATAATGAAACATCATTTTAAATACAGATAATTATTTCTAAAGACATATCCTGCTTCATTATAATATCCTTGGACTGCATTATATTTTAAACTCCATCAAAAACTACTCAAGGCCGACCCCAGAGCCAATGCCGATAACCAGCGCTTGCCATCACATTGAGCTGCAGAACTGTGGAAAGGGGTTGTTAGACCGAATGGGCGCCAGAATTTATACTGTGATATTATATATAACACTAACTTATATTATGTGCTGAAGAGGTTGCATCGGGAAGCAGAAAACCCGGCGGATTATTAGGAATTTTTGTCATGAGTTCGAATAATGGTAAGCTCTTAACTAATAGTGTCTCTGTCTGTATGTCAGAAACAGTGATAGTAATTCTAAGTTGCTCCGACGCGGTAGTGGTTAGTGTCGCTGATTGCCATAACGAAGAGACCGGGTTCGAATTCCCAAGAAGGCATAGAATTTCTAAGCGTTTAGTGTCAGTGCAACAAGAAGGTACTCAAAAGACACGGCGAGCCGAAATCCTTTCGAAAAATTGATCGCAGGGGAAGACTAGTGGGAGACCTTCAGACCGCCCCGTGGAATTCCACCCGGGGGCGGG